GGCATCACAATCCCTGACTTCAAAATATACTACAAAGCTATAGTAATCAAAACAGGATGGTACTGGCACAAAAACAGACACACAGATCAACGGAACAGAATTGAAAGCCCAGAGATAAAACCACACATCTATGGACAGCTAATCTTTGATGGAGTTGCCAAGAACATACAATGGAGAAAAGACAGTCTCTTCAGTAAATGGTGTTGGGAAAACTGGACAGCCACCTGCAAAAGAATGAAAGTAGACTATTATCTTTCCCCATACACGAAAATTAACTCAAAATGGATTAAAGACTTGAATGTAAGACCTGAAACCATAAAACTCCTAGAAGAAAAGACAGGCAGTGCACTATTTGATAACAGTCTTGGCAGCATGTTTTCAAATACCATGTCTACTAAGGCAAGGGAAACAAAAGAAAAAGTTAACAAATGGGACTACATCAGACTAAAAAGCTTCTGCATGACAAAGGAAACTCGTAACAAAACGAAAAGATAACCTACCCATCCTCTGGGAGAAAATATTTGTAAATCATATATCTGACAAGGGGTTAATTTCCAAAATATATAAAGAGCTCATACAACTCAACGACAAAAATCAAACAACCCAATCAGAAAAAATGGGGAAAGGATATAAACAGACATTTTCCCAAAGAAGATATTCAGGTGGCCAACAGGTACATGAAAAGATGCTCCACATCACTAATTATTAGGGAAATGCAAATCAAAAGCTACAAGGAGATATCACCTTACATGGGTCAGAATGGCTATAATTACCAAGACGAAAAATAACAAACGTTGGAGAGGACGTGCAGAAAAGGGAACACTTATATACTTCAGGTGGGAATACAAATTGTTGCAGCCACCATGGATAACAGTATGAAGATTTCTCAAAATATTAAAAATAGAAATACCATAGGACCCAGCTATCCCACTACTGGGTATTTATGCAAAGAACTTGAAATCAGCAATCCAAAGAGATTTATGCATCCCTTATTCATTGCAGCATTATTCACAATAGCCAAGACATGGAAGCAACTCAAGTGCCTTTCTACAGATGTATGGATAAAGAAGATGTGGCATATATATACAATGGAATATTAGCCATAAAAAAAGACAAAATCATCCCATTTGCAACAACATGGATGGTCCTTAAGAATATGATGTTAAGTGAAATAAGCCAGACAGAGGAAGACACTGCATGATTTCACTCGTATGTGGAAGATAAACAAATACAAGGATAAAGAGAACAGATTAGTGGTCACCAGACGGGAAGGGGGCTGGGGGTGGGTGAAAGGGGTAAAGGGGCACATACGTATGGTGATGGACAAAAATTAGACTACTGATGGTGAGCATGATGAAGTCTATACAGAAATTGGTAAATAATAATGTACACCCCAAAATTACACAATGTGATATACCATTGTGATCTCAGTAAAATAATTGAAAAAAAAACAAACACAAAACACCTTGCTTGCTATTAATGACCCTGCTTTATCCCTTAATGGTGAAATGGTACTCCTGTATACTGCAGGCTAGGTTTTCCTGCAGTAACCAACATCCGCCAAAGCTCAGCGGCTTAAAACAATTGAAGATTAGTTCTGGTTAACGCCACCTCTCCAACATGGATCAGCAGGGGTCTCTGCTCTTTGACTATCTCACAGGGAGACTGCGGGAGGCTTTATTCAAACACGTTTTACACAATAACTTCAGTAGTGAGAAAAGAATTATGCGACTGGAGCAATGACCCTTAAAGCTACTTACAGAAATGACACGGACACTTAGACTGATATTTCATTGGCTGAAGACAGTCAGTGACCCCACTTGACTTCAAGGAGGGAGGAGAAGTTCAGTTTTTCCGTGGCCAAAAGGAGAAGCTAAACATTTGTGGATATCCCTAATGACTACCACAGCTCCGTGTACTCTGATTTTTAAGGCAGGAATGTTAGAATTTTTTCTAAGGTAGAACCCCGTTTTCAGAGATCTCAAACAGAGGTTGACTGAAAAAGTTGTTCGGTTCTTGACGGATGAACTTTGACGTATCTGGAAAATTTATATTGTGCTTAATATGGAGTAATGTCACTTATTTAAACACTGTCTTCTTTTAGCTGATTAGGAAATCATATGCAAGAACTGTGAAAGAATTCTTAGCTGAAATGATGATTTATATATGAGTATTTATTCCTAAATGTACTGCTCATATATTTTAAGTGTTTGTTTATATTATCCCCTATCTTGTATAATTTGTCTCATTAACTACACTGTAATATATGAATCTTGGCTTATTGACTTATACTCTGTAGTGGCTGGCTCTTTAGAAATTGGTTATTTAATAAAAGTTCAATTTTATTGATATGTTTATCGATTAATGGTTTTTAAATCATTACAATTAGAGATCTTGACTTCAGGAGATGTCACAGAATTGAAAACACTTCAAGCAATTTTTTAAAAGTTGCTTATTGTTGGTTATGATGAGATCTGAGAGCCAAAATTCAGTAGTCTCTCAATTTCAAGGGTATTTCTGGCTTATACCCTCTGAATCACAAGGCAGTCAGACCTTCTTTTCAGATATTATTTTTCTGTGATGTTTTCACATGTTTTTTTTCGGCTGTAAGATTTGGATGAACTGTAACTTAAAAAAAAAAATTATGAAACAAATATAAGTGCTTAGGGAGGTATTCGATTGCCCAAGACCTTGCAAGGCCCTAAACACTTCAAAACAAGCCCATCCTAGCTCCTAAACCCACACCCTTCCCGGATGACCAGATAGAGGGTGATTCTCATTCTCATGCAATGCAAAGTGCTCAGGGACACGAATGTGTGAGGACAGAGCTTGGCGCGGGAACAGCGTTTCTATAATTTAATGGTAGAATTACTCCCCTTGGAGAAAGTTGCATGAACACAAGTTACTCATTGATTGAATCCCAACCATGCAAGTCTGTTTCCAAAATCAATCACTCTTAAGTTGTTCCATATGTACTTGTAAATATTAATATAATGGCCTATGTAAATGGGTTCTTTATTGTCCATCTGCTGATACTAAAGGTGAGGAAGGTGTAGCGTAGTGTTAAGATTCTGGTGTCAGATGACCTGGGTTTTAAAACCATTACTGACATTGTATAATAGCTCTATAATGTTGGGAAGTCATTCAACCTCAGTAACATTCAGATGTCTTATTTATAAAATAGAGATAAAAGGTATTGACTATATCATGAGGTTGCTGTGACGATTAACTGAAATAATGTGTTTAAAGTGCTTGGCAAAATGCCAGGCAAGCATCCCATAGTAATCAACTATAATTCTTAATATTTTATTACTGTCTTTATAAAGTCATATAATCAAGATGAAAGGATCTCAAAAGCCATTGGATTCAACTACTCATCAAATTATTTAATCGCTTCTCCAGTGTTCCCTCCAAGACATCTCCCATCTGGCCCGTGGTTGAATACTGATTGTTGGATAACCCTGACTTCTCCAACTGCCTCATATTGAACTCAATTATGCTGTTAAACCTGTAGCTTTAACTATTTGGAGATACACCGAGCAAACATAAACCCTTTCCTCATGACAGCCCTTTGTGAATTTCAAAACATCTCTAATCACAGGCTTTTCCTTAAACTTCCTTGGAACCCTTCCTGCCTCTCCCTGAAGCTTTCATTTGTTCATTCTCTTTCCCTTCAACACCCACATTTGGGAAAGAATAGAGTAGAGATGTGGTTTCGACTTCCTCCGGTTTTATTTTCTCTTCAACACCTTGGATGTAGAGTCTGATTCAGCAACTCCCCAAGCTGAAGCGCAGGGGCTGTACCCAGGAGTCAAAACGAAATGAAAAGCAGAGAGAGAGAGAGAAAATGGAACCTCTTTTATTGAGGCTTTATAACGTTCTAATCACTATGCTAAGAGTTTTACATATATCTTCTCATTTGATCCTCACTAAACCCTATATGAAGTATGCCTTATGATTCCTATTTTACTCTTGAGAAAAATGAGTCTCTGAGAGTTTGAATTGTTCAATATCCTGCAGCTTGAAAGGGGTGGTGGGGCAGGTCAGGTTTTATAAGTGGGCTGTCTGCCTCCAAAGTCCCCGCACTTGAACACCAGGTATATGAATACAAGTATAGTGAATGAGTATGGGAGGTAGAGAGAAACTGGCACATTAGTTAATTTTATTGGACACACATTACGTAAAAGACATATTTATGAAATAAAAATAAATATAGGATATAGACCTTTTCTCATATAAGGAAGCTTACAATCTAGCAAATACCCCCACCCCCAAAATAATCCACGAGAGACTGAAAGATAGCAGTATAAGCATATTCTGTAGGAGACACCTCTCTTGTTATTCCTTTCAGACATTTTATAAATTGTTTCTTAGCGTAAATATATAGATATAAGGACGTAGAGGTAGAGATATGTAGGTATAGGTATAGATAATGATAAAGAGAAGGAGATATGATACAGATATGGAATAGAGAGAGATATGGATATATAGATGTTGAGATGTAGGTATGTGGAGATAGAGAGAAAAACAGAGAAAAAAAATTAAAAGTAAAACTATGGACCAGGAGGATATACATGGACTTCAGATAGTGGTCGTTTGGGGAGAAAATTAGACAATAGGACTAGTGTAGGGTAGGAAGCGAGGGAAGGAGTGGGGAGAGGGGAGAGAGGAAATATAATTTTACTGTCCCATTCGTTTATATATAAATGAATATATGCATATAAATACGTAAAAATATCTGAATGAAAATATAGATAAGAGACTAAGAGTGGGAGTATGGAGGGACGGCTTCAATTCTTCTCTTTTAATTATTTGGGCTTTGCATAAGAACCATATAAATGACAGTAAGCTTTATATTATTCATATTTTTAAAGCTATGTTCTCATAAAGGAAGCCAACGCATAAATTTAGGAAGGATAACCCCATAAATATGGTTTCTAACATCGAGTGCCTCCTCCCCGTGTTCTCCCCACTCCTGACGGCCATTCCTCTGTCTGCAGGCTGTGGGCTGCGACAGGCAGCTGGGAAGTAACGCCAAGGAGGACAACTGTGGCGTCTGTGCTGGCGACGGCTCCACCTGCAGGCTCGTGCGGGGACAATCAAAGTCCCAGGTTTCTCCTGAAAAAAGTAGGTTTTAAACCTAACACAATGTTACCATGTGCTTTAGACGGTCTGTGACTAGAATAACATTTTCCTAACGCCACACTTTTTAGTTGGAAAGAACTTCTGGCCAGTTTTCTAAAAGTCAAATTGTGTATATCAAATTTTTGTTCACATTCCCTTTTCTAAAACTACCTGTTTCTTTGAACCTTTGCCATTACGGAGAATGACTATTTTTTTTTTAATATTTGCTAATTTTTTAGGTAAACCATGAGTAATAATTTCTTTTATTTGCCTCCCTTTGATTGCTAACAAGGTAGGAAATATTGTCATGTATTTATTGCCCATTTATACTTTTTCAGCTTTCAATTAGCTGCTGAAGTCATTTACTCCTTTTCCTATTTGGATGTTGATCGCTTCCTCACTATTGTGAGCTTTCAATCTATCATGAATACTACCCATTTGTCTGTTATACCTATTTCAAATATTGTTCTCAGTTTGTCATTTGACTTTCAATATCATTGATGTTTGTGGAATCAATAGTTTCTAAGTTTTATATATTCAGAAATTTCCATCCTTTCATTTCAGTAGTATCTGCCTTTTAAAAAATCCTTTAATTTGGGGCTCAGGAAACTTTTTCTATAAAGGCTGGATAATAAACATTTTAGGGCTTTGCGGGGCATATGGTCTCTGTCTCAACTACTCAACACTGCCGTAGCAAAAGCACCCACAGACAACTCTTAAACAAATGGGCATAGCTCTGTTCCAATAAAACTTTGCTTGCAAAAATAGGCTGCAGGCTGAATTTGACCCTCAGATTGGGTTTTGCTGACCCCTGCCATAAAGGGAAAAAAGTATTCATTATGTTGTCTGCCAGTGCTTTTATGGTTTTGTGTTCCTACTTTAAAATCCTTTAGTCACTTGAATTTATTTGGATGTAACTTATGAAATAGGGATCTTACTTACTCCTTCCAGTGGGAAGAACTTGATAGGAGGAGTGGAGGGTGGGGATGGTTCTCCAGGCAGAGGAAACACGATGTTCATGGCCTGACACTAGAGGAAAGCCTGGGCTGTCTCGAGAAACTACTAATATATTGCTTAGGCCTGAATGCATATTGGATGGCGTGCAAGATGTGACAGAATGGCATCCAGAAGGCAACTGTAAAGGCCTTCATTGTTTTGCTTTACTTTTCAGGTTGAGCGGAGTCATTAAGGCAATTTAGGCAGTGGAGTGACATGGTTAGATTTGTGTTTTAGTAAAATGATTTCTGGCGGCGTATGGAGGCTGGATTACCTGTGAGGTGAGCCTAGAAGCAAGGAGTCTGAATAGGAAGCTTTTATTAAATACTCAAGGGTGTTTGAAATAATGAGGCCTTGGTCTAGCGTCTCAGGGTAGGAGAGGTAGAGGAAGGAACAGATTGGAGAGATATTTAGGAGATAGAATCAGCAGAGTTTGATAATTCTTTGGATGAAGACTATAAGAGAAACAAAGAAGCTAGGATGATGCAAATTATCCAGTTTGAGCAATTGGCTGGATATGCTTGCTGTTCATTTGGGTAAGAAATTCATGAAGAGGAGACGCCTATCAAAGGTAATAGCTCACCTCCCTTGGTCTTCCTTCTCTCCAGAATTTTGGCCCCATAAGTATTCAATACCTTAGTACCTTTCTGATGCCTTCAAACAGATGTTGATTATATTTTGTTTGAGATTGAAGGGTTGATCTGAGAACATGCCAGTCCATTGTTACTGGTGGCAAAATCTCCTTATTGGTGGCATTTAATTATAAATTGAGTGAGTCTGTCCAAAGAGCATATGTAGAATATATCAGAAGCCAACAGTTGCCTCCTTGGGAACATGTGAAGTCAAGGTGTTTAGCCAGGAAAGCAGTTTAAGGGAATTCAACTGAGAAAGAATGAAAAGAGTAGGTAGGTAAACGCAGAGCTCAGCAAGAGTAATATCACGGAAGACAAAGGAATGAGTAAGTCCAAAAAGGAGGTCGTGGTCAGCCATGTTTAATGCGGTTGTAAAATGGACTGGAGTAAGAGCTCCACAATTTCTCTTTGGCAATTTGAAGATCATCTGTGACCTTAGCAAGAGTGGTTTCAATGAGTTTCAGGCTGAAAACAAAGCCTGATTGCGATGGGATGAAGAGTGAACAGAAGGCGAGAATATGCAGAAGGAAGGATTTGCCCAGGACAAGAGGAGGTGTCCGTGCCCACACCATGTCAAGAGCTGGATAACTATACAGATACAGCTGGAGAACATGGTGAGAAATTAACTGGGTTCCAGCCTATTGGCGTTTTTTACTCTCTTCTTTAGGAGATAGAGTCAGCTGCTAAGAGTGGGGCTCTCAGAGACTTGAGAGTGTTCCCCTCGAGGAAAGGGGAATAAGAAACTCAGCAAAGACAGTAAAAAGGTAGCAGAGTAGCTGTAAGAGCCTGGCTGAGGTTGGAAACCATGAATTTGTGGGGGTTTCAACCCGTGGACAAATGAGGAAGCCAGCTTTGAATGGCGGTGTGTCAATGAGGAATGCATTCTACCATAAATGACAGAAAACTCTATTCATAAGAATAGGAGTTTATGAATCTCTTTTAACAAGAAGTCTAGAGTAGGCAGTCAAGGCTGAGGAAGCTGTTTCGCTGCATCTTTAAGGAACCAGGGTCCTCTCTCCTTCATCCTCCTTAGAGTGTGGCTTTCATCTCCAGTTGCAAAGTCACATTGAACATTGAGACACCACATCCACATCCCAGATGATAAAGAAGAAGGTAGTGCAAGAGGTATTCTTTTGATACTGTGCCCTTTATTCAGGAAGGGAAGTCGTCCCCAGGGAATTTGTCTCATTGACGAGAACTGTGGCATGTGACACTCCGGCTTCTAAGGAGCTGGGAAACTGATTATATGGCATTCGTTCTATTCTGTTGTTACCAATGTTGATACAATGCCATATAATTCCTTAAGTTCTCTTCAGGCATATCCTATCGTTTAATTCCACTAGCCTCTCTCATTGTAGTTTTGATATTGTCAAACCCATTTGACAGATGGGGAAACTAAGGACCAGAGATGTTAAGGAACAGCTCCCATAATTCATTATGAAAAGCAATATGGGGAAGTGTGGTTAAGATATTGCGTTTAAATCCTGGGTCTGTTGCTTACTAGCTGTATAAGCAGCTGTATAAGCAGAGTAAGTATTTTTAACTTCCATGTGTATCTTGGTTTTCTCATTTTAAAACTGGGAACAGCAGTAGTACTGCTTTTGTAAAGTTATTGTCAGGGTTAAATAAATCAGTCATGCCAAGCAATCCAAATAGTATCTGGCACCTAGAGAGGGCTCAGTAAATGCTAGCTGTATTTTTATTAGAAATATTACTCATTTGGGTACCAAAGGATGTCACACCTCTTACATACATTAAACGTACGTGTGGATATTTGTAAACAGATTTCTAAATCAACAATTGGTCAATCTGGGTACTGTTTTTAGGAGAGCTACTGATGGATATGGAGGAAAACCTTGTCAAAAGTGTCAAAAAAGACTGACTTGTAGGAGAAACCAAAGTTGGAGGAAAGACAACTCCAGGGAAGACAGTGGAGAGCCAGGCTCCACTGTGAAGGGTTAATTCAGGAAGGTTTTTGGATGAGTGGACTGAATGGGAAAATAATAGCCAGCACGAGTATTGGGGAAGGGCCTGGAGTTAGCATTGGCCTGAAAAAGTGTGGAAATCTCCTCAGAAAAGATGTGGTCTTGTCAGGGTCAAAGAGAGATTAGAAATCGAGGTAATTCTAATTGAAGCAGGGTAGAAACGGAGTGAAATTGGGTCAAGAGACCAGTCTTTTTGAAGAAGTGAGCTGAGGAGGCCCTGAAATGGGAAGGGGTGGGGTGGCGTGCTGTGTTGGCTGTGTTGGCCTACCTGTTGGTATGTCATAGTTCTTCACTCGTGGTAAAGTAGTTCCTATTCTCTCTCTCTCTCTCATTTTCACTTTCTTTCACACTGAATTTCAGTTTTTGGATCAGAGTTCCTTTTGAGAATCTATTGAAAGTTATGTATTTTCTCTCTGGGAAAATGCATGTGTACCCATAAGCCCCAAATTTGCCATTCTGATTTTTTTGTGGGGGTCTCAGATCCCCGATGCCGGTTTAGGACATTCCAGGTTCAGAGCCTCTAAAGATTGAATCTTTCTGATCGATTTCTGCAAAGAAGGGGCAACTGGGGCGCACAGACAGATCCTTGACTGCAGTGGGCGATGCATTGTAGTGAAACTGGGGCATCCCGCAGGCCGCTGGCATGTCATCCGGTTCTGTATGGCTGTGCTTGGGCTAAGGCTAAAGTTTGCAGAGATTCCTCCCTGCGTGAAAACCATGCTTCTCGTCCTTGATTTTCAGTACCACCCCTTCATGTCTGTTGCTGCTCCGAAACTGGCCAGCTGAAGCTGTTGTTGGCTGGGGTTTTCCATGGGCCATATGGAAGCACTTCTCTATAATCATGCTTTGTGTGAAAGACATGTGGGAAATGAAGCCATGTCTCTCTTTGAGTGTGCATCACCGGGCCTGCAGAGTCCGTGAAGCTCCTACGTCCTCACCTTGCCAAACAATCATGCCTGTCTTCCCCAGACTCACACTGAGTGAGGACATGGCAGCGAGATGCTGTTGGCACAGTCCTGCTCTGGAGAAAGTGCACAAGGTTGCGCACAGGCTATCGTTTCCATCTTCCAGTGAGGCAGATTCAAGGTGTAGGAGTCTGGAGCCAAAACTTTTGCAATGAGAAAAATCAGAAATTAATCCAGATACAACACACGAATTTCCTGTTCGGAGGGAGAAGGAGAGAGACTGAACTAATAACTGGCATGAATAGCTTTGGATGTTGGAACAGGGAACTAGAGGCCAGTCAAGTTTTAAAGAGAGAAAACTCTAAAAACAGCAACCAAGAAGCAAACACATCTATTTGGAGAGCCTCAACTTGGCATTTAAGGACTCAGTTGTGTTTCCAGCTTTGTCTTTTCTTTTTGGTCGTGTCCACACATATATGAGGCCA